AAACAAGTACGAAAGCAAGTACCCTTCATGTGATGATTATATTTTAAAAATGATTTATTTTGTATAAACAACTTTTTACTTAATTCCGATGTATTTAATTAATTTATTGAAGAAAAACTAATTTTCTAAAAGAGGCTTTATGTAGGAGTAATATGGGCCGATCCTTATAAAATTGTCATTTATGCTTAACAAAACTTCGATACTAAAATAAATTTAAATATTTATTAACAAACAAAATCAAGTTTACTTAGTTAATTGTATTTAATTTTTAAAAGTATACTTGCTAATGGACCACCCTGTATATACATACTTTTTAAGTATCTAAATATTATGTGCTTCAGGAAATACAAAAAATCTAACAAATAAGTTTTATAAACTGCATTAATAGCGTTTGTTCTGAATAATCTCAACAACAATTATGAGAACATTTAGTTGTTTTACGAGACTTAGCAAAGCACTGTGCAATCAGAATAATAACAGAGAAATTTTTTTGTTTAATATTAAAAAAAAAACTAAACAAAACACAAAAGATGTTTATATCTGTCTATAAATATGTTTACAAAGTTTACAGTATTTGTCCAACGAATACTGAACATTAATTTTTTTAATTTTGTGATTTATTTAATGTGTGATAAAATTATATTTGAGAATTTTCTATTAATTTGCGACCTGTTACTAGATTCTGGTAAGGTTTTTGTATCAAATTTCTAAAATATAATCGTTACTAAATTTGATTTATATATTTTGTTATAATATTTTATAAAATCGCTATAAATTCGGAATTCGATTACTCTGCCACTTATATATGAGAAAAATCAAATATTTTTAAGAATTTGATAATTTTTTCCCCCTGACAAAAATCATATTTTAGTGGTTGAAAGGGATAATAATTACACATGATGAAAAGGAAAATGTCAATCATTTTCATTAATGCGCGCAAAAGTTATAGCGTGTTAAGCTATTTTTAAATAAAAATAGTAAATATTAGTAAGGACTATCTACTAGTTGCCTGAAAGCAAAATGTCTTTTCAGATAAACTCTATTAAAAAAATAAAAAAAAAAACGTAAAATTGTGGTAACATTTGTTTATAACCAAATATACATATGTACATATTATCACCAAAAAGTATGTGTTAATTCAATTATTATAAGGATATTTAAATGTTTAAAGTCTTGTGACTTGTATATGAAGGATGGCTGACACTGTTTCCAACAAAAAATCTTGTGTTTGTCAATAATAACTGATCAATAAGCATTTTAAACTGCATTAAAACATGTTTTTCGTTTCATACATCGAGTTTTAATAAGATTTATTTCGAAAAAAATAAATGTTAGATACATCTTTCTTATATTAAAGTGACGATATGATATAAGAATTAACCCTGTTCAACATATTCACTGAAAATTCTTTAAAATATTAAATTGCTATCGTCGTCCACAATTGCCAGATCATGAACTGTATCGTTTAAATACGTCGATCTGTAAGTCTGTATGTTTACATATTTAGTAAACAAAATGAATGTATGTAGACCGTTTTCAATTTATTTCCAATGTGTTTGTAATGAAACAAACATTTTTCTTCTCAATTATATACATAAATGTATATGCATATATCGCTCATTTACTTTAAGACTAGTATAACTTCAAAATGGGATACTTTGATCTGGTATTTGATCTACATACCATGAAATATTTGCCGTTTTATTTGTCTAAGTATTTTCCGATTAGGGAAATTCTGCAATTTAAAAAGCATTCAGAAAATTTTGGAAATAATTCTTATAATATTATAATTTTTTTTAATTGGTTAACCGACTGGAATAGAATTTAAAATTGATAATAGCATATAACGGGAACTAAGGTAACGGTAAAAGAGGTAAAAAGGTATTTTAGCGATAACGACGAAGTGGTAATGCAACCATCCCTCGTAGAAATTTAGTTTAAATACAATTTTCATAATTTGTTTAAATGTTATTCACGAAAATATTATCGTATCATATTGTCACGTTTTACATTTTAAACGGTATCAATAAGATACTTCTGTATCGTCTAACGGACACATTCTTGAAAGCTTTAGTTTTATCATGATCACCCTGTGCTTATTAATTGTACTCATACTTAATGTTGCATACCGTATGTATATACAGTAGGGTGATCGATTATTCGACATTTTCCAAAAACCGGTTTTCGAATAGTTCGAATAGTTGACATTTAAAAAAAACCGGTTAATATTTTTCAAATTCAGAAAAAAACGGTTAACCGGTTTTTCATTATAAATAAAAAAATATATTTTAATTTGAAAAAATTAATGTTTATGTTTAAATTTGATTAATAAAACATGGCCCGAAGTGATTTTTAACAGTTTGAAAGATTATAACTTTAGACCTAGTCGTCTGATTTCTTTCATATAAAAAAAATAGGAAAAAAGTGGGACACTTCTGTTAAACATAAGGTACTATGTAATCCTAGCTTATTCTAAAAGCCCTGTTTAGAAAATTTGCATAGGCATTCCAACACTTCCATAAAATTTCAGCCGTAAATTAATTATTGTAATTGGAATATAATCTTAAGATTGATAAAGTTTTATCAAACAGTTATCAATTTTACAAATAATTTTTTTTAATTAATTAGGAAAATCAAAAAAGTTTAACCAAAGGAGCTTTAGAAAAATATACGCTAGTTCCTCGACACGAATATTTTTAAAATTTAGACGGGCTGTATTATGATTTACTTAAAAATTTCATTTAAATAATCTTTGAATACAAAGCAAATAAAAGTATTCGAAATCGGTTTTTAAAAAGTGAAAAAACCGGGTTATTCGATATTCGAAAAATCAGCATTAAGAAAAAACCGACACTGGTAAAGCAGAAAAAACCGGTTTTAAAAGCGGTTGAAAAATCGAGTCGATCACCCTAATATACAGTAGCGTATATTTTCATACCGTATGTATATACAGTAGCGAGCACAAAAAATGCAACGCGTGACGATATACCTTCGATTTCGTCTGTTTCGAAATAACGGTAATGAATCCATCCCTTCTTTTTGCTGTTTATTCTTTTAACTTAGAGCATTCAACTAAGCAACATTTTGCTCCAATTTATATTACACAAAGTTGAATATTTTATATTTGCTGGAAAAAAATGAACTTATTCCGCGAGCACAAAAAATGCAACATGAAACATGAATGAAATAACAGTAAATTTATGATTTTTATTTTGTTTTAATGAAAGATTCTTGATGAAATTATACAATACGAGTATTATAATAGTAGTAATTATCATCTAATAAAAAAAAACCTATTATTAAAGCTCTGGAGGATAGGAATTCATGCTTGAAATTTGTTCGCTCTTTTGAGTGAAAAATTTGGCGTAAATCGCCAAATATGAATTAGTCAACTTTGTGTAATAGAAATGGGAACAAAATGTTGCTTATTTGAAAGCTCTAAGTTGAGAGAATAAACAGCAAAAAGAAGAGATGGACTCATTACCGTTATTTCCAAACAGACAAAATCAAAGATCATATCGTCACGCGTTGCATTTTTTGTGTTCGCTACTGTATATAATTTTATGATTTGGTTAGTAATAGCGGTATATACATACATATGTATATATTGCGAGTCCTTATAGATAGCGGAGCCGATTAAACTATATAGACGAAACAGTTTGTCAAAGATCTAACTGGTGAGAATATATTAGTAGAAGAACTAAAATAAACACAGTTGTTCAAAAAGTACTAAATAATAAATATATGTTTAGTGCGTTATATCTGTGTATTATAAATGGGATTTCATTTATTAGTGAATGAAAATATTTGCCAATAAGATATTTTGTCTTAAAAGATGTAATAAACGCATCGTTTTGTTTTTTAGTGCCGGTTCACACAGGGAAACTTTTGATTTTGTGTGTGAGAGGAAGAGATGGTTGATATTTCTTTCTCTTTCTGTCACACACAAAATCAAAAGTTTCCCAAAAAAAGTATTTGAAATACTTATTTCGTTTACAATACGAAAGTTCACAACTTTGCTTTTTACAAATTTAATTAAAATAAAATGTCAAAGAATAAAAAATATTTTTCGGGTTTTGAGTACATTAAATGGGTGAAAAAATATAAAATATTAAGTTTAGACTTAAGAAAAACTAAAAATTGCTATTATTCTCGTTATTTTTTCATAAAATATCAAAACGTATTTCTCGAAACGATTTTTTTGAGTTATACTATTCTTATAATAAATGAGCGATGTGTACCTTTGTATGTATGTACATTAGGGAGGCCACGTTTGTATGGAGAGTAAAGTTATTAATATTCATTCTAAGAAACCGTTTCTGAACATTCCCCGGTGCAATATTTTGTGAGCTAGGTCTTTTTTTAAGATTTTTGTATTATTCTTCATATTGTACTCAAAGGAATGATATAAAATGTTTATAGCTTTCATTTGCAAGATATCGACAATTTTATACTTTTTCGGAAAATTTTTAAATTTTTACATAGATTTATTGAACGTAATTAACGAAACATCGTTAAGTTAAACATAATAGTTTTTTTTTTTGGTTTTCGAAATTCAACCTAGATCAAATTTTATTTTAATTTTCCCCAAAACATGGCATTCAAAATAATCAAATACATTTTAGATGACATGAAAATTAATGAAATACATATTTTGTAATATACATTAATACCTCAAGGAATGACCTTTTTTATACTTTGATCCAGTTTACCAAATAGTGACGTCATTTTGAGAAATGGTATTTTAGAATGAAAAAAATTTTAATTTTTGATGAGAACATTAACAATTTCCACTTTGGGGCTGCCCTAATGTACATTAATAGCTTCATAGATAAATAAGTGTAGTTAGACTTCTGTATGAGTAAATGTTTGAAGAATATTTTACTCACAGATAAAATACATCATATTGGATAAATGGATGTGTGGATTGTTGTTTTTTTTTTTTTTTTTTTTTTTTTGTTATGAGTCTACTTCGCAGCATGCGATTGAAATGCACATTTAGTTTATTTCTCAACACGGAACGGTTTAGATGAATTTTTAAAAACGATCCACTAGAAAATCAAATGTAATTTATATTTCGAAGCATTTTATGAAACGATATTTTTAAATAAAATTTTAGAGCAATAGGCAGACAATTGGACTGTGTCGAGTGTCACGTATTTTCGAATGAGAAAAAATTTTGTTGTACGAAAAACTCGGTGAACTTGCATAAAAATAACGCATTCAAACGATATTGTGCGACTGCCATCGCGACCTCCATTTAGCCAAACTGTTATAGTATCCAGAGAAATGCACATTCATCCGAGCTCCCCGAATTCAGATATATCGCTGCAATCGGAGGAGAGTGCTGCCATTAAAATTCAAGCTGGTTTTCGTGGATACAGAGTGCGTAAACAGTTGACAGGTCGTCCACATTCTCGCAATACTTCTAACGGTTATCAAGGAATTAATTCGATTCTGCGCCGTCAACAGCGTCACCAACAGAGCGGAATGTCGCAAAATCAAAGTACTGGCAGTAACGGAGTAACTTCAGTTCCAGCACAGCTGAGACAAGAACGCAGTGGAGAATTAGAGAGCGCTTCTGTAGAAGATCGTTGTGCTACAAAAATTCAAGCTGGAGTCCGAGGCTTTCTGGTTCGCAAGAAACAAAAGGCTGCCGCTGATGCAGCAACAAAAATTCAAGCTGGATTTCGAGGATTTAAAGCTCGCAAAGAAGTTCAAAAAATTAAACAGAAATAAGATTTTAGAAATGTATATGTAAATACATCAAATTTGATTACTTAATATCCAAAGACAATAATCTTAGTTGGTGATATTCCGAGTGTATATAATATGCAAGACCGTCAATTATTAAAGTAACTGACACAACCCAGCCAATCAACAAACCAAAAACATATCTCAGCCATCCAGTGAAATATCTGTCCATCTTCTTTTCGTACAAGTACTTCTTATACTAATTACTTGTTACCCCAAAAATAATTCCTTAATTGATTTTTAACCTTCTAAATATACTATCTATGTGAATAGTATAAGTATTACAAGTATAATTTGCTTCTGAACAAATACAAAAGTCTCACATAATATATACTTATGTAAAGTATAGATACATACATATTATGTATGTATCTCATTAATAAGATATTTTATTTATTTATTTGATCTTTAGATTTGTCCAAGCAAATGTGTACTTTTAAGCTTTTTAGACATGTATAGAATAATAATTTTATTAAAATTATTTTAGTTTGTAGTGAATGTATTTTCCCCGTTAATTTAAGTTAATATTTGTGTACATCTAACTAAATGTAGGTTTTCAATTAATTTGTTCATTTTTATTTTTAGTTTTTATTTTATCCACATTTTTTTTTTTTGCTTAGAAATATTTCGTAGTAACTAATAAACTTTATTGTGTTAAATTGTATGCCAAACAAAACGTACATCCAATATACTTATGGAAAAAAACATTATAAATGCATATAAATAAAATAAATATTAATTTTAATTAAGATTTTAAAATTTTGTTTTTCACTCCTTTATTAATACTTTCTTTTATCGCAGAAATCAATTCAAATCGAAAAAATGCATTAATCTTTTATTAAAAAATTTGACTGTGTCATATTTTTAATGATATATCTGTAATAAGCGATGTTTTTTTGCATATGAAAAATTTATACATATGTATATTTTTTCTGAACTGATTTTAGTTATTATTTGGGATAAATTTTTTATGCGTCCTAGTCGGTAGTAAGTTGAACCTACACAGATTACATCATACTTCAAATTATAGTAAATAGAGGGTTTTACGATTTCTTTTTAAATTTGCTAAAGCAATATCAGATTACTTTAGGAAAAGTTCTGCTTAAATTATTAATACTCAATACAAATTATGATTTAAAGATTATAATAGCCGTGTTCCTTTACTTGTCAAATTTACAAGTTTTAGTCAGAAATTGTAAAAGAAAACAAAATTGAAGAATTAAAATTGTTTTCTCTTTACCAGAACTTGCAGGTTTTATCCAGAACATTTGTTCCAGGCAAAAATTAAAAAAAATATTTGTTTAAAAAAATACATTGAAAACAAAAAATTTTGATATTTTTAATTTATTTTGATAAATAAGTAGGTACATATGTATATGTATGTGATTGTGGTTTTTCAATTTCTTTTATTTTCAATAATTTTTATTTGAATAGACTTTAATGCAAATTTATTAAAAGAGAAATTTTTGAAAAAATTATAGTTCTAAATAATTATTCATAAACAACATTTTATGTTATAAAAGGTTTATAAAACAAAAAATGTCTATATAGAATTTGATTTATAAACCGTTTATAAAATAAAAATTTGTTTATGAATAAATCCTTTAATATATAAAGGGATATATTAAAAACGAGCATTTTATTTTTTCAATGAAAAGTCTTGTGGGTGGTTATGTAACTGATTTTTTATTTAAACTAGCTATACCCAGTGTGCTTTGCTACCCTAAAAGCAATGTAAATTAAAAAACCCTATACCAAATGTTCATATTGATTTCAAAGTTTTCGTGCAAATTTTGAGGATTTTTGCTATAATAGTTTCCCAGACATATGATTTTTTCTATTTTATTAATGTGGGGGACCCCCACATTTATAACATCGCATCCCACTTAGCGACCAAGAGGAAAAGATCTAAGCTTTCTTTTGTGCTAAAAATAAAGAAAATAAAAAGGACCAATTTTAGAAAAAAAGTGAAAAAAAATTTTTTCAAAAAAAAAAAAAAAAAATCCAAAAATATTTTAAAATGTTTTTTCCCGAAAGATTAAAGAAATGTCTATCTGATCTATTTGGAACAATTTTTGCTACGAACAATAGGTAATAAATTACATATGTAGAAAAGAAACACATGTTTAGCAAAAATGTCAAACTTTGACCTACTGTAGCTTAGAAACGTCTTGATCGATCTTGTTGAAAAATTGTGTCTAAACTAATTTCATCACGATAGAAAGACATCGGTTTCAAAAGTTGGTCCACTTGATATGAAGTCCTTCATATGTATCATTCCCAATCACGTTTATAATCATTAACTAAGAAATATAAAATGTAGTGAAGGAAATTGGTCCCTTTGACGCAAACAAACTACAAAAAACATTGTTCTAATGTATGATTTTGTTTTTTGTTTGTACTTAATAAATTCAGAGTACTTAAAAAACACACATGTATGCGAATAAATTTTTATTGCGTTTTTAATTTAGCAAAATAATTTTAAAGATTTATGTACATACGGTTACGTACTCATTTCAATTTATGATTTTAATAAATATAAAATAAAAACTTTTGCTAAAAAATATGGATTTACCAAAAACAAACCAAATTAACAATGAAAAAATGATAGCAAATATAAAATCGAAAATATTTGAAATGTGTGCCAAATTCAATAATAGATTTATGAGTCTTTTTTTTTTTTTTTGTTTGTTTTAACATTGAACTTGACATAAAACGAGTATCTTCTGTATGTTCTGTAAGTGCACGAGTGTTTGCCTAACATGTGTATGTATATGTATCTATATGTATGTATGATGTAAGATTGTTGCAATTTTATTAACATATGTACATATGGATGTGTATCTACATACATTCCACAATTGATCGTTTTCTTTTTTTTCAATATTTGTTGTTTATTATACATAATTCTAGTAAAACGATCATGTCATTCTTATTTGGCGTGTCTTTGATACAGAAATTGCGTTAGATTTTATTTGTTTCCAAAATAAAAAGTTGCAAACCTTCGAAACTTTTTATGTTTCTATCTAGTATATTTTGAATTTCTTGAACACAAACGTAAGCACAAATAAATGAATGAATATAATATAATTTTGAATGTTCTACTTATTACGTCTGTTCAGATTCACTCACAGCTAAAAGTACACTTAGAAAAATAAAGTAAATCAAACGAAATTTTTTATAATTCAATATCAGAAAATTTTAAAATGTTTAAACATTCTCTTAAAAATAAAAAAAGTTACTACTTAGCACTTAAATAAATGAATTGATTTTGATGTTCGATTTAACTGAGATGATACACTTGTAATTTGTAAATGGAGTAAAGAATAAAATATGTGAAACATTTTATGCCAATATCATATCATTTTTAAAATTTATAAATTAGCGGTTTTTTATTTTAGACATGTTTTTTACTGTGCCATAAAACTGAATTTTATTTAAATGAATTACATATTGTATGTACGTATGTACTTCCATTATATTTAAAATAAGCAAATTTGAAATTATTTTACTCTCTAATCCATAAGCACTTGACGTCTATCTTTCTTCTTTTCACCTTCTGCACTTTTTATTTTCTTTCTCATGTATTTGGGTATGACGCGCAACACTTCCGAATCAATTTGCACGGGCATAGAGTTTTGTCTCATTGCAAGCCATCTTATTTTATTTTCTTCAATTTTCTTGGCGCGGATTGTCGCAGCCGTTTTGGCTGAAATATGAAAAACAATATAAACATATAGATATTTATTAATAACAAAACGGCAAAAGTAAAAACAAAACAAAAAATATAAATAGATAAAAACATAATAATATTCATTCAAAATTATGTGAATTAAAACATCTTGTATGAAAAATCTATATAAATTATATTTACACACATGCATACATATCTAAATTCAAACAAAGTTATGTGTATCCCAGCAAACATTGCGTAGTAATGACAAATGCTAGCATATAGTAAGTTTTCGAAAATTGTTTTTGAATAGTGAATTTTGTTTAATTCTTTAAGATGTAAATGAAGGTACCTACTTTCAAAATGCTTTTTTCCTTCATTCTTCATTTATTACCCACGTTTTACATGTATGTATGTATGTATGTATGTATGTATGTATGTATGTATGTATGTATGTATGTATGTATGTATGTATGTATGTATGTATGTATGTATGTATGTATGTATGTATGTATGTATGTATGTATGTATGTATGTATGTATGTATGTATGTATGTATGTATGTATGTATGTATGTATGTATGTATGTATGTATGTATGTATGTATGTATGTATGTATGTATGTATGTATGTATGTATGTATGTATGTATGTATGTATGTATGTATGTAGTATGTATGTATGTATGTATGTATATTAAAGTTGTTCGTACAACGTTTGAAGATTCTAGCTCCTATAGTTTCCCCGATATACATACGAATTTTTGTATTTAGTTCATATGGGAGTACTGGCGTCATGAAATAACTCCCCAAAACAAAAATGAAATAACTAAACATTTGTTCAGTAAGCAAAAACAACGAAATTTGAGGATTTAATTCGTTTTTTGGGGCATTATTTCGAATATATAAAATGGGGAGTTATTTCATTATGAAATAATTAATCAAATTCAAAAATGAAATAAATCACTAAAAATATTTTTGGGGAGTTATTTCATTATATTACTTTTATCACACGAAATAAAAAAATATATGTCTGATAGACGGCCTTCGGGCGGGAGCAAGGGTTTTATTCTCTAGGGTACATTGGACACCGGCTTCGCTAAGAATACACTCTCCCTGTACCAAGAGTGTTCGGCCTTATATTCAAATTAATGCTAAAGTTAGACGTTCAAAATTTGCCAGATATATGAAGTTTAATATTAACTTTTTATAGTAGATCACACGGCCATTTTTGAAAAAAAATTTTCACATTGACACTAAGGTTTATCGTGCAAAATTTGGGAACTGTAGCTGTTAAAGTCTCCCAAATTTACGCCATTGGCTATATTCTAGAGGCTTTATTCATAAAAAAAACTTTTTATTTTATAAACGTTTAATTAATCAAATTTCGTATGGAAATTTTGTTTTATAAAACTTTTATAAAAAAAATGTTCTTTATGAATAAGGGTGTAGAAATGTTAGTCATAGGAAGTGCCACACCCACTATTGCTAGTTCAACCCGAATGTTCATATAGGTGTCAAAATTGTCCGTGCAAAATTTAAAATATTGGATATGACCCTTGCATCCCACAAAGCTTTCTTATGAGCAAAAAAAAAACAAAAAACGTCCATTTTGAAAAAATAGGGGAAAATGAAAAGGTACAGGTGGCAAATATAGAAAAATCTTATGGAAATTTTTTTCTAGATCCAATAGGTGAAAAGTTCCAATCATCTGAATAAACCCTATGACCAAAATGTCCAACTTTAACTCCCTCTAACTCTTGCAGTCCTTGACCGATAGAGCGGAAAATTTGTGCTTGGCCTACTTAATTTTGGTGCAATGTTCATTTCGATTGTTCATCGATTTTTAAAGTCACTTGACACCCATATATAGATTAAGCACTTTTCCATATCAAATTCCTATAATAAACCATGAATAGCTTTACTAAGTACAACTACAATTTTCTGTAATTATGTAACCTATTAGATATTACTTCAAAAGAGACGGTACTTTAAAAAAATTAAAAAGGTTAAATTTGTCCTTTAAATCTTACTTACAATCCCTGAAAATTTCTAAATTCTCAAAATAAAATTTTTAATTATATTCTATTTCAATTTTGACTGTAGGTAAAATTTCAAAATTTGGAATGACAGTTATTTTGACCTAATCTCTCAAGGAGCATTCTATAATCCAAAATCTCCGCGTTTTCCGTGTCAATTTTATATACTTACAGTGTAATTTTTTCATTATGAAATGTACAAATTTTATATGCAATATCTACATAAGTGAATTTCTAATTATTATAAAATTTTGCACACAATATATATTTACAATATGTATGTACATTTACCGCACAATGAAACAATATTTATAACAATTTGGTAAATTTCCAAATTAAAATTTTGTTCTTACAGTCTGTTTACAAATTGTTCCCATACGATTTTCCGGAAATGATGTACACAGAAGAGTGATGAATAAATTCTTAATGATAATGTGTTTTTCTGTAATTTATATAATGACGTATTAAACAAAAACACTGATTCTGTTGTTGTGGGTGTAAAAAAATAATTTATTTAAAACTAAAATATAAAGAAAAACACATAAATGTCATAGAAATATTTGCGTCAAAAACATTTAATTGTCAAATGGTTCACGAGTGCAAAATCTAGAAAGAAAATAAATTGAAATTAAGAAAAATTTAAAAAAAATTCAAACACATGTTTACAATCACCGATTTGGCATTGTTAATTTCAACTTTTTGAATAGTGCCCCTCCTCTCATGTGATTCACCATATACATATATAGTTCTATGTAGTAAATTAATTATTTAAACAGAAGCAAAATTTAAACGCATTACTTTTAAACTTGATACTGAACATTTTTATAGAATTTCAAATATTTCCAAATGCACTTGTAATAGCTTTGTTCCTTTACTTGTCAAGTTTGCAGGTTTTTACCAGAAATTGTAAAAGAGAACAAATTTGAGCAATTAAAATTATTTTCTCTTTGCCAGAACTTGCAGGTTTTAGCCAGAAAATTTTTTCCTGGCAAATAGAAAAAAAATTGTCAAATAAATTATTTGTTTAAAAAAATACATTGAAAACAAAAAATGTTTGATATTTTTAATTTATTTTCATAAATAAGTATGTGTGATTGTAGTTTTTCAATTTTATTTTAATTTCAATAGAAATTTATATGAATAAACTTCAATACAAATTTATTGAAAGAGAAATTTAGTTTTTTCTGTTCCCGTACTTTTTATAAGTACGAAGAGAAAATTCATTAATTCTCTTTAGCCAGAAAAGTTCTGGAACAAAGCTAATATTTATTAATTTTATATTTAAGGGATAAAATTTTAATGAAATTTGAAAATATACATACATACAGTGTATCAACTATGTTTTTTGCCTACCTTTTTTTAAGAGAATTTCGTTTTTTGTTCATAAATTCCAAAAAACAGGTAAAAAGTAAATTTATGTTTTCCAATTGAAAATAGAGATTGTGTATTGCATTTTATTATTTTTCATCAGAATTTGCACGTCAATAAATTATTTTGCATATTGAAATTTCCAGTTAATTTTGTTGGGTTTTTCAAATTATTTTTTAATTGCTTTTTGGAATTTATTGTTTTATTGTTAAAAGGACACCTGTTAAGTATTTTTCAATTGTAATTTTCAAAAATCATATCCTTATTGTGTGAAACTGTGTAGTTATTTGCGTTAAAAATGTTTAAAGGGAAATAATGAGGCAATTCCAATATAAAAAATTAGTTTAGATTTTTAGAACAAGTATAAACCAATGAAATTCAATTATGAGATGTTTAATCAATCATTAAAAAATATAAAATATAGAAATTGATGAAATAACACAAAGAATTATTTAAAAAAACGCACTGAGTTGTCTTTCAAAATCTTTAACTGCCAAAGAGAGCGACTTGTATCCAAGCAAAAACCATTGAAGTCCTCATTTATCTTCTCCAAAGTCCATATACGAACTTAAAAGAACACTATGTTTAAATTTAGACCTCTAAACAGACCTTAGGTTGTTTGGAAACAATATAAAGTGAACTATCGTATGGTACGGGAAAAATACTTAATTTAGATATTTACAAATACAGGCGGTTCTCATCACCTAAGATCCACAAAAGCAATTTTTTTCAGCTAATACATACACTTATATATAGTTAGAACCCAAATCAAGAATAACTATCCAAATCCAACTACGCCTACTGTATTTTATTCATAAAATAATGCATTCAAAATATGATGTAGAATAATCAAGATTCTAGCATGTAATAGTTCTATAGTGGTATACGGTGATATCCCCATACTTAGAGTGGCTAGGATGGTACTTAGTGTTAGCTTTATTGAATAAGAATCAATATCATACAATTCTGAATAAAATTCACACAGTACTCCCCAAATAGATGGGGTTTCCGTAATGTAGTTTTTGTTTATCAATTCAAAATTACCAAAAACCCAGATCATTTTTGTTATAATCTATAGATTTATACCCGACTAAACATTTGTTCTAGGTCCAAATCCATTGATTATCTAATATATTATGTATCCAATTCAAAATTACTTATTATTTTCGAAATTAAATCAAAGAAACGATAGATTTCATGTTAAGTCAAATATTGAAAATTCTTATAGGTATATAGGATAATAAATCGGTTAAGAAATGTCCAAACTTAATCGTTCCACTACTAAAATATCTAAAAAATGTTATTCTAATATATAGGAGTAATAAAAATATGAAATTTTATAAAATAATGCAGCAATATTAAAAAAATTAACAAAAAACCTAAAAAAGCAAAATACTTTATTGACCTTAAAAATTAACAATACGTTCACATTTTATGAAAAATCTCGATAATTAATATCACGATTTTACTTTTTATGGTAGAAAATTAAAATATAAGATATTCTTTAAAAAATACAACAAACAAATTGCTTTATTTTGCTTAAAATTTATAAAATTTTACATAGGCAAATTACTTAATTGATTCACTGTATGTAATTATCGAAGCCCATTTATTGATACAAATTTCATGGA